TGTGAGAAGGGTATCTCTCGATAAATGAGAACCAATTTGGCTGCAGGATGCGTTCTGGCTAGTGAGGTATTCAATTTCCTGTTGGCTATTCCTTCAGTATTATCACCTTTTAAATAGAGTTGAACGAAGATAGCCTTCTTTTCCCCTGTGATTTGTTACGCAATTAAAACTTCACAACTTCTATACTTGTTTCTGAAGGTAACCGTTGTTTTTCAAATCTTCACAAGATTCAGAAACTCTTCCCTGATTTCTGTGTAGAGCATATTCTCCTGGCTTTGTAAAACAGAGTTTTGACCAATGGTAGTTTATAGCTAGTTGGACAAAAACTATTGAAATTTAAGTATTGTCCATTCGATGTAGGCTTTCAGTGAACTGACCTATAGAGACTACCATCTTCCAATGATAATAATATCATTAGTGAACGGATAATTGGGTCACTGACGCTGGGCCATCAACATGTTCGTTCATAATCTTGTCACACAGTTTATTTACTTCATGGGTATTATATCTCAATTAACGCGCAGTACTTTCAGGAAATATTTCAAATGTATAGTAGGCGTTCAGTAACAACGTAGAGCAAAGTGGATATACATAATGTGAAAATGAGTTAATGAATACTGAAATACTGTAACAGTAAGTAACATAAGAGACAAAAGTATACAAATTATTACCCCGATAGACATGGAAATAAAACAAATTGAGTGGTAGAACTGTTATAACTGCACTGAACTGAATGAGAACTGTGGCCACTTTGTTATATATCTGCGCCTGCCTAATATGCCTATTTGCCCGTTGTGCCTTCCGATTCACTGAGCCACGCAAATATCAAAAGACAAGGGGTGGCCTGTGACTGTATATTGTAATCATCTACAAACATTAGGAAAACAACACATGGTATTTATACATTTTCACAACAATAAAGACGGCTAACGGCGTTTGAAATAATTGATCGTATAGTCAGTCACAATATGCATGAGAAATGGTGATATAGTACTTTATGCCGGATCCTGTCAAGAACAAAACAGGGTAAATTTTTATCAAAAATTAATGTAACTTTGATGTAGGTGTACAGCAGCTCGTGTAAAATAGGCAATTCAGGCTAAATTTAGGCTAAAAAGACACCGTATTGACTGGCTTGATTTGTTTATAATTCAGTCTTAATCGTCGAACACAGACAGAGATACAATTACTTAGACTTTGAAAATTTCTGAATGGAAACTGACAGAAATAATCAAATAAGTGTAGAAATTGGGCACTATAGTAGAATGTAATTTCATATTAGATAAATTTATTTGGTTTAACAGACAGTGATGCAGTACTTCTTACTGGATGACTCTTCGAGCACAATTTATTGCTCATAATCATATCAAGGTACGCACACAACTTTCCGACTTCGTTTATGTACTTGAGTAACAAACTCATTGGAAATATGAATGAATAAATAAAAATCAATATAAATTTCAACAGACATGCGTAAAACAGACTATAGAAAGATAAAGTACATTCGGAAATTATATGAGTGTTATGAATAAAATATAATATGACGAGTGTTTTTGGTAAAATCTAATAAAATGTGTAGGTACCCTTAAGCATGAAATCATACATTTATACGTGTAGTGAATTCACGGTTAATATTAGTAATAGTTTTTATGATACATTAAAGAAAGTACTATCATGCAAAAAGAAAATCCCAACGAGAACTAAATAATTAAAACGTTTGCGATCAATAAAAGTGACATGCCATCCTGTCAGCAAAAAGTGATAGAACGTAATCAGCTGACGTATAAGATCCATCTAAATGATGAAAAATAATTGACAAGAAATAAAAATTGATAGAAAAATGGATGGAATTCATACCATATATAACTTGCACTGGGGAATTTCAGTTAGGAAGACTTCCATAAACCATATGCAAAACATATTTACGCCGTTAAATGGCATATGATATTGCGCTTGTGATTAACAGTCTCTCATCAGTATCAACTGAGGCTAAATTGGGTATCATTCGACTATAGAGTAAATTTATCTGATAAAAACACATTAACACGTTGCCCGAATTCTATTCTTATATCAACTAGATTTGGCATACCACGTATCACCTGCATTACACATATAATCCAGTCCTACAGAAAATCACTTATCATCTTAACAGATTGAAGTAAAAACCAGTGATTCTCTTGAAGACTGTAGATTCACCATGCTGATGAGTGTAAACACAGGTAATTCCTAGATTCTTCCTGATTCCTGACAAATGCTGTTTCAATCATTGTAAAGATGAAGTACGAAGCCAAACACAAAGCAAATTAGTGTTACAACAGTCGAATTTCCTGTTTATTTATAATTATTAAAACAATTCTTCTAAAATAGGAATATATGATGCTAAAACAGGTTTATTCGCCTGCATTTTTATCCTGTCTGGAAGGTGTTCTATCAGAAACTGATATCTCAGTATAGCTGTGTAACTTCATTTGCTTTCAGCTTCAAGCTCTTCTCTACCATTATTAGAAAAAATATTCTATTAATTGAATTAAAACACTATATTTTCTAACCTCAGAATGCCTTATATGATAATTTTTGATTTGTCATTGTGAACTAGTAATTCACACAGAAATATGTATACGTCAAGTGATCAATCATGACAGTAATTCTTTTTTCTCTCAAGGAAACTACTTTGACTATTCTTCTACCTTCGTTTTATGCTACTGAGCGTCAATGAATATCATATTCATGGTCCTTTCACTTTGCTTCATCCATACCTTCCTTCTGTGACAGTAGAATTTGGGCACTGGAGCAGAATATAATTCTGTGTCAGATAAGTTTATTTGACATAACAAAAACAAGGATAAAGTGATAATAACTTGATTCATTATTAATTAATTGGTAATAGTATATCCCTGTGTTATGCCAAACCCATCTAGTATAGAATTATATCTTCCCGCTTCCTGTATAAAGACTTTTCGATCTCGAGTATGATAACTATATCATCTTACTGTGCGTTGGCATACAGGCTACTCAGACCGCACTTAATTAGTTGGTGACTATTATCTGTAAATAATATATGTGCTCTGTTCCGTCTAAGTGCAAAGTATCGTTGTAACACTAACAGGAACCTCTACCTGCGCTGTCTCTCTCTCCCAGGTGAATCGTTAGAAATGGTCGATTAGTTTTTGTATCTTGATATTTGTGCGACTGTTGGCATAGTTGTGATCTCCAAGCACATACTGAAAGCCGGGATGTCATACACCAAACTAAGTCGCGACTTTAGAGTGACAGTCAAAGTTCAGACTTGCAATGGCTTAGTGCACACAATCTTGCTGTACATTGGTGAGACCTGACGTTTCCGATCTGAAGGTGCTGCAACTTTACATGTTTAATCATTGTTGTCTCCGTAGAGTAGCTTGCATACACTGCCATCACCATGTAAGTAATTCAGAAGTTTAGCGGCGCGTGTCCACACAATGAAACGTTCTCGGCGACGGGTGATATGACCGAGTGGACTTAAACGTGGGTATAACAGTACTGAACACAATGGACAATTCAACTGATGTGCTGGAGACATCTATTTTTCCTTAGTACCTTCCACTTTACTGAGCCACATAAATATCAAAAGAAAAAGACTGGCCTATGACTGTTAGGATACTGACGTTTATTAAGGAAAAACACATCATATTTATGCATTTCTGGCCACATTCAAATTCGACTAGGTCAGAGGAAAATAGAATATTTTGATTAGGTGGCCGCTGGCTAAAGGTTAGACAGTGAGATAAAAAGTTGCCCAACAAGATTATTTCATGTCTATCCATATCCAGATTCAAGGAATAAACACTTCTACCTCTGCAGTCACTAAATTAAAATCTTGATTTCAATCTTAGCCGCTTCCTATCACACACAATGGAGATCGTTTTTCTACAATTGTTGTCGTCTTCGAACACTAGATTCAGTAGCTTGGGAATGTACTACGAATATCATCCCAGAGGTTTCCATACAGCTTGTTATTTTCTAGCCATGGGACTGGGTGGGACAGGGGAAGGCAAGGTCAGTTTTGGGATAAAGAATGATGCAACCGTTGTTGCGTCACTACTCAGTGGGTGGGATCCGAGAGATAGTTCGAATCGGTGGCTCTAAATATAATCAGATATCGCCATAGATCCTAATCGGTGGCAACCATGCTGCAGTTTCTTCCCTTCTTCTCCTGCTGAAAATAACCTAAAACAATGAACCATCCTTTCAATGCTTTTCATAAATATGCTTACTTCTTTTTCTTGATGCCGTCCATCACTTATTTTAGTCTACTCTCCTTATGTTGTTACTGTGTCATCTTTTTTCGGCGTATCCCTTGGTATCTATATAATATCAAGTTTGTGTTTATTTATTTAATAAATAGTCTTCCTTTATAACTTTGCGGAAATTACTTTTCACTCATCATATTACCATTCTAATATACGGGTTTTCTTTTCCATTCTTTGACTTTAGTGTGTTCCCTGTAGTTATTATATCGATCTGTTATCTCTTGAAGCCTTGTCTGTTTTAAGCCTTTCACCTTAGGCAGCATTAGATTTTAGACTTCAAGAACAATCCTACACATGATGTGTACATTAGTTGATAGATTTATGAAAGTGCCACCAGCAAGACTTATTTCTTCTGGCAATAAATTTCATTCATATATGATAACACTGGTTTTCCGATAACACGAAGTGAGTGCTTTCGAATTCTCATTCCTGTTATATTCATTTTCTCTCAAATATTGCTGTTTTAATGTGGGACATGAGTATTGACCTCAGCATCTTATAAGATGACGTGGGGGGGGGGGTAATACTGTCTACGATGACGAGAAACATCTAGCTTACATAATAGCTCATTTATGCATGTGTACAGATGGTGTGCCTGCATTATTCAGGAATAAATAAATGAATATTATAATCTTCTGGGGACTGCATCTGGTAAAGAGAAGGCACTGTAATAATTTTCATTTATTTGAACAATGAACTCGGCAAGCTGACATGGTAAGCAAAATCAGTCACATAAATAAATCATTCACTTATTCAGTCGAATTTCTGACAACTTCAAAAGTATGAAAAAGGCAAAAGGGGAATTGAATGGCATTGTGTAGGAAGTGGATTAAATAAGAATAAAGCAGCGAGATGGAAGAGATGTATGCTTGATATGTTGAAATTAGTGTTGAAATCTACAAATAAGCATGAATTTATTGGTGAAATCAGTGTTTAGTTAAAGAATGCATACGAATCAAATGTCTACGATGAGATGATAGATTCCATAGTCAACTTAGATATATGATGAAACACTTTTTCAAACAACGAAGATCGGACAATTTCTTAGACCAGGGTTTATGTTTAAATTTTCACTTTTGGAAATCAGGACATAATATTTTATTCAAGTTAATATTGGTATTTTTTCGCTTCATTTGCTAGAAAAATAAAAAAAAATAAAGCGATTATTTTTAAGGAATTAAAATTTCCTTCAGTACACAAACACCAGCTGATAACTGTTTATATGAACACCCGGTACTCAATATTCACACACCATTCTAAGTTAAGAACTACGAATCTTAATCCACTTTTTATCGTTTCGGGTATTTCTGTTGATGCAGCTGAGTAGATTGCCGAGTGGATGTAATGATAGGGAAAGCTTACGCACCTCAACTAAATACTAAACATTCATTTTCTACCTGAGTACCTTCTATATCAGAAGACGAAAACTGGTCTGTGAATATATGAAGGCTTATATATATATATAATTTCCCGCGCACACAATTGTGCAAGGTTTGCGGTGAATTAAATTAGCCTCATTAGCCGTCTGAAGCCAGTGGTCCTGAATTATGGTTTGCTCAATTACAGCACGCCTTTAACCGATGTAATATTAAGCCAGAGAATACCTGGTACAGGGACGGGTATTTTCACTTACATCATTCCATTAGCAAGGAGATGCGAGGACCAATAGATCATCCTCCACTAAGACAAACGTATACTCTGATTAGGTGAGAATTGATTATTCGCCTTTTAGTGCCCATATACAGTGCTTATTTTAAGTGAGAACGTCATGAGATAGAATACTATCACAGTTTTCGTTCCACTCACAACAGCTGGTGGGGTACTGCACAATTCGAAGGGCTGCGTAGTGCTGCTATATTAACTGTAACGGAACACTAGTTGATTTACCTATATTATACGTTTGGAGAAACTAATTTTACGCATGCTCACCAAATATATGTTATTGTGTTATTCAACATTGGTTTCCCATTGTTTTATATATACTTTGTATGGCTTCGCACACTCACTTTTGTTTCACGTGCTTTGAATTTCGACTTCGCTGACAATACATTTTCTCAAGTTTTCACTCGTGCTTTTTCATACAACGTTGTTGTTAGTATTTGGTGGTACCCAGGGTTTAGCATGTCGTAGAACGTGAAAACGTGGATTTATTTTAGTATATTAATCGGATTTACACATAGTGTTCTATAGCTGTACGGAAACAAGGCTGGACGCAAGTCCCCTCGTGGAGTACGTGCAACAAGAACTACACAGCTAAGATCCTAACTCCACCCTTAAGCAACTGCCACACCTCATGTAGAATAATGGGTAATTATTAAGTTTCAAAGCTTCTTTTATGTGTATCAGTTCCTGTTTTAGATTTTCTTTGGTACTACTTAGTTCTTGTTCTCTTTCATTTAAACATTTCACCAATCCTATTTTTACTGACATAGGATAGGACGATCGGAAGTCTAAATATCTGTTTGAGTGTGTGGGTTTCCTGTAAACACTAGTGTTTAACTTCCATATTCTTTCCTCTTTACGTTGCAATCTAACACTGGGAGCTGCCCTTCCTGATTTTCCAATTCATAAGTGAATTGAATTGCTTCAACCTTCGAGTTGATGTGTGTTTTAAGTGTTTTAAGTACAGTGAATGTGTCATCTACATACATCCACCATACTTTTGGGATGGGGATGAACGTTTCAATCGCTATGCTTTCCCACTTATCCATGAATATATCTGCTACAAGTGGGGATATTGGTGATCCCATAGCAACTCCTTCAGTTTTTTGTATATTTTCCCTTGAAATTTAAATACTGTGGAAGTCAGGCATAGCTGTACTCCCAGCATTATGTCCTCAAGTGGCACTTTTGTCCTAAGTTCGAGTTCTTGGTCAGAAATGAGTTCGTTTCTGACTGCCTCCATAGCCATATTTATTGGTATACGTGTGTATAAATTGACAATGTCAAAACTAACCATTTTTTTCTTCATTATTTAATTTTAAATTATCTAATCTGTTATAGTTCATTAGAATTTGTTAGTCTAGATTTTGAGTGTCTTTTAAGGGGATTTAATGCCACGGCTAAATATTTAGATAATTCATAAGTAGGTGAAATTTTAAAATCAACTAAAGGCCTAATAGGGTATCCTGACTTATGAACATTAACAACACCATACATCCTACTGGGGTTATTAGTTGAGTCTGATTATTAGCTTAGTCTGATTTCAGTCAGCATGGGATCACTGACCAACATTCACAATTCCTCGCAGTTATCCACGCTCTATCGCAGGAATTAAGGAAATACGTAACTGTGCATATGTCAGGCCTAGAGGTAAGTAACCCTTATGAGGTGCCTAAAGCAGCCCACCGAAAGAGAAACGCCCTAACGGAACTACAGCGTCTTGACGAACTACTTCGCGGCAATGAGTTAGGTGATCAGTCGGCTGTGAACATGCTGACGAGAATGCGTGAAGTTATTGGCCAACGTTGGTCCGATGAGGGACTCTTCAGAGAGCTGTTCTTATCCAAATTTCCACAGTCAGTACAGGCTGTTTTTCTGACACTTCAAGGTGCTATTATAGATGAATTGGCTATTTCTTCCGATAAAATTCTAAAAATAACACAACGGCCAGTCACAGAAATGTGCTCAATTGCTAAACAGACTTCGATTAGGGACAATGCAATGATAGACTTATGAAACTCCGTCTAGCAACTGCTTAGGTCACATAGTCCCCGTATTTCCTTCTACCGTCAACAGAATTCCCCTCAACGGCGAAACCCACATGGTCAGTCAAAATCCAAAAAACACGTTCAAATAAAAACCCCGACTGGCGTTAGTATCCCAATACCTGTGGCCAGGAAGCGACATGTTGCCAAAAACCTTGTAATTTTGTCAATGACTCGAAGACTGTGGGAAAATGTCCTGCCGGCGCGCGCTAGCTGCAACCATTGCAATGTGGCCAACCAACAATGTTGGTTGACACAGGTGCCGAGGTCAATGTCCTCCCTGCTGCGGAGGTAGATCGACAAATGGAACCCGCCTTCAGCTTACAGGCTACGAATGGGAAACCGATTGCGACCTTTGTTAGGAAATACGTCTATCTGAACGTGGGGTTATACTAACCAATTCAGAGGAACTTCCTCCTTGCCGATGCCACAATGCCCATCATTGTCACAGACCTACTCAACTATCATGATTTACTCGTAGATGTCCACCAAAGACGACTGATAGGTGGTACTACTAGCCTGTCTATTATAGGCATTACATATTTAGGTCACAACTATTGACTGGTTGAGAAGACAGAGATCTTCGGTCCAAATTTCCAGCCTATTGTTGACAAGTACCCGGAAACTAATTGCTACTCCTTCAATCTACCTTGCATTACCAGCAATGTCAGGCATCAAATCACAACCTCAGGACAACCCGTGCCATCTAAAGCACGACGACGTGCTCGTTACAAACTACAACTCGTTAGAAATGAGTTTGACGACATACTCTTTCTTAGCATCATTCAGCCATCGGATAGTCCATGAGCATCCTCACTACATATGGTACCAAAAAAAGATAGCAACGATTGTCGACCCACTGGTGGTTACCGGCGAGTGAACGCCAAAACAACCCCTGATTTCTATACATTGCCTCACATACACGACTTGACAGTAACATTTTCTGGCGCAACTATATTCTCTAAAATCGACTTGGTTAAAGAGCATAACCAAATCCCGATGGCAACGGAAGATATTCCGAAAACGGCTATCATTACGCCTTTCGGAATTTTTGAATTTCTACATCTGCCATTCGGCCTCCGGAATGCAGCGCAAACATTCCAACGCTTCATCAACGAAGTTCTTCTTGGTCTCGACTTTGTATACGCATACTTAGACGACTGTCTCATTGCCAGTCCAGACAAGGAAACTCACCTTAGACACTTTGACTTGTCATTTGAAAGGTTACTCCAACATGGTGTTACCATCAATATTCAAAAGTGTCAAATAGGCGTTGACTCACTCGACTTTCTGGGCCAGAAGTATGATCTGGAGCATTGACAATACTTCGAGATAACTGTACTTTCCACACAGAGGTTTAATGTAGTAGGAATGATTGAATTCGATTCACCGGCTAGGAAGATCGCGTTCCCCAAGTAGATATTCAGCGACATAAGTATTTTCCGGTTAGGGCGGGAAAAGTATGTCAAAAAAGATCACAGTTGGTAATTTAATAGTCGTCTATACCAATAAAGCTGCCACAGACGGATTCAACAGATGTTGTACTGCTTTACGTATCAACTATTGGAACAACCTAGAATAGACCTTAAAAGTTGAGCCCAATTTGATTTTCAAGGTCGGCGTGTGTTTTTCATTTGTGAATTTTTGAATCTGGGTGCATTGTTATTATAGGAAACAACAGAAGAAATTCAGAACAGTTGCATGATAGAAAAATTCACTAACAGATTCAGAAAGTAGTATCAAGACAGATAAAGAAACAAGTGTATAAATTAGAAAGCTTTGATATATCTTACAAAATTCTTCAAATCCTTTACTGAAATACTAATCACTAATTCAAGTCAACTCTAGAAAATAATTTTGATTCACAAGCAGGATAATTTCGTCGAAACGATCGACATCGATGGTGGTTTCAGATCTGAAGACAATAGAGAAATTATTGTCTTTGAAAGGTTTCAAATTAGTAGTACTTTTTTTCGATCTCTCCTTTGGTTGCCACTTTTTTGCAAAAGCCTTCGCATCTAAAGAAATTTTTCATCGGGATGTTAAAGTTGGTGAAATATTTGTCCTGAAAGTTCCCATGCTTATAATTAAATAAGTGAATATGTGCCATTGGTATTAAAAAATATACTGTTCTTAACCTATTACTGAATTTATTCCCCTTTACAGTACTCTGTCTTTTTTCAATAAGTGATTATCCAATAAATTCGAATTAATATCACTAGAGAATACTTTATCTCAAAGTTATGGATTGCTTGCATGCAATGTGTATGAACATGTTAGTAAGAACATGTCCAGACTGTGAAACTAAGTGATAAATAGGGCCTAAGGATGTAAAGAGATACCCGATGAACGGGTTTTAGGGATTGAAGCATTATCTAATCACTTAGCAAGTTATTCATATTTTACTTGGAATATTTGAAGCCTAGTGATGTTATAGTATAGTGATGGTGTATCACAGTTTTCTACTTATTGGATTGCTTTGAGTATGCCATCCGAAGCATGTATATGTAAATAGAGTTTAATTTTTTTGAAATGTAGCTGAGAAAATCTATTTATTCGTTTATTTTCTGAGTCCACTTTGATAGAGTATGACTTTAAAAAGTATACGTTTAAGTTGTATTAATTATCATTCAACTGCTACAGCATACCGTTCTTACAGCAGCAGTGACTAACAGTATAACTTGCTTACTGCAGAAATGCTCACCACCTCAAGCTAGTCGGATGTTTGGTATTCTGTTTTCTTCATATGTACCCAGGGGCTTACAAAGCATTTATTTCACACGTTAGTCATATTAGTTCGTGTTGAGTGTGTACTATTTGTGCTTTATAAATAGGTGGTAGGGTATTGTGATAAGTTATCTATGCTTTGACTAAAAAAAGAAGCGTTAGATTTAGGAAATGTGTCGGCAGATAAACTTTTCAGATTAGTTGTTAGGCCTATTATCTTTCTGATTTTCGTCGCAAACCTGAACGAATACATAGACCATTCCATGTGATCCTCAAGAGCTTTTGTGCTTTACATCAAAATAGTCAGTGATTACAAATAGAAGTCTCTTCGTTGTTGTTGTCAATGAAATTATAGTAACTGTAATCATGGCTAAATGAAGTAATCGTTTTGCAGTGAACTTATTCACCTCTAACACATATAAAGTGATAAAAAGAAATGAAAAACTCACAAAACAAGTTGACCATTAGAATCACGTGAAATTTCGAGGCTCTGGCCAAAGTCAAATTGGTTTCTGTTTTCATAGCACTTATTTATGTATGCAGTAATTAGATGAATTTATAATTTCTCTCTTTTATGCCTTTGTTTGTCTTCCCTCATTCCTTTAACTTTTCTAGATGACTTTTAAACGATCTTCATATGATGAAGTCAAACCCGACTCTAAAGGTGATAAAAGGTCGAAGAAGTCTGAAGGTTCAAATCACCTTCCTGATTCAAATAACAAGTACGACATTGATGAATTACACAAAGCTCCGTGTTCAAAGGTTGAACGCTGCGAAAGCAAAGTATCTGCAAATAAGTCGAAAAAGAAGGTGAGCACCATGCACTGACTACTAATTCCGTCTTGCTTTAGTTGCTCAAAGAATTTATTTCAAAAAATAAAGGTAAGTATGAGATTTTACCTTTACTACATTGTTTTTAGTGATGTCTGTGACTAATTTATCCTAATTATATTTTGTTGTGTATCGGAGAAACTATAAATCAGAAAGGAAGAAGATGTATGGGGAGGTTTGTACTAAACAGCTAGCAACGATTTAGGGTGCATTGCAGATAATTTAGGAAGATTTAGGGCGCATTGCAGATTTTTCGGTGAGGGCTTAGGGACATTGTCCCATGTAAGGCTATGCGCCTGAAGTTTTTTGCCCCAAAAATTCTGTAGTGCGCCTGAAAATACTGCTAGCTGGATATTTAATTCCAGATTGCTGTGAAACCATTTTATTCATGTATTAAAATTATAAGTCATAATTGAGATTTCTGACTCGTTGATTCACACGTTGCACTTCCAAATGTTAAGTCATGGTTTTAAACTCTTCACTGTGTATCTGTGTTTAGGGAACATTTAGCACCACGCAGTGGTTATGGTTCATTGTCAAGTACATGTAAAAGTAATTAGTTGGTGAGTGCTATTGCACTGCATTTACCGTGCTGCTCATGTTTAATGTTCATGTAGTGGTCTCCGTGAAAGAGGTTAAATGAGAATCTAAGGGTCAATATTTTCATGAAACGAATCACGCGTGCTAGGTGTTCAACTTAATTGTATTGCATTATAGAAAGACAAGTAAAGAAGATTACTTTCTTTAATAATGCTCGAAATCCATGTGATTTCAGAATGTAGAGTTATTCGTAGGAACCAGTTCATAGTGTATGATGACAGGCAAAAGTCAGGCAATAACCTGTCTCGAGTTTTCATTGACTTTACTCTAAATAGGCAACAAAATCAACTGCTAAAATTAAACCTCAAATGTTAAAGGATACTTAGGCCAGATAATTTCTCAAAATTACATCAATTTATTAACTATTGAATACATCTGTCAAACTGATCCTTTTTAAAATAAATATGATTTTTATCCTTACGTATCGGATGATCAGTATTGTAAAAAATTATTTTATACTCTATGCTCACCAGTTTTGTTATCGAGTCTGCCGTCAGTTTATATTTTTGTAACATTTGTAGACAGTGTTGGTGAGCTAACCAATGGCGTACCAAAACTGCTTATCACGAGTTTACCACATAGTGTAAATAAGTCTACTCTTAAGGAAGTTTTCCCGTTGGCTACTCGTGTGAAACTAAGCAAGAAAGCTAGTTCAAGATATGCATTTTTGGATTTTTCAAGCAGTGGAGATTACTCGGATGCTATGAAGCGTTTAGAGTCATTAGAATTTTGTGGTGTGAAGGTAACTATGTGATCACATATTAATGATACTTTGTAATTTGTCCTAAATGATCATTTGTTCTAAATGATAGTTATTATTTGCTTTATAAAGTGACAGATGATGACAAAAACCGGATACTAAACTTCAGTTCAAATTGTTACACTTTTTACATTACTAAGAGACAGAGCCAACCAAAGATATTTGAATAAACCAGTAGAAGGTTATACATATAAAGGTAGTTTGTCGACGAGGAATAATAAGGCATTCGTGACTCGAGCGATGTTAAAAATGAGAGCATATATTTGACCAAATGTAAAATATGTCTTTCAAGAGTGTTAACATTTCATCCCAGACATTTGGTCAACCTCAACTATCATGCTTAGATAGTTCAAACTAGTGGTGACAGAGTTTTTGACTTATAATCTAAGAAAATTCATAGTTGATTACCTCGTATTGAATTAGAAAATGACTTTTATGCTTTATGATTGAAAAAAACTGGAGGCGAACAACATTTCCGAATGCTTCATGGAGGAACCGTGCTATAAGATTGAATTATATTTGGCGTCAGAATATCCAGACTGCTAGAATAAACACGTAGTTCTTTCCTATTTTTTCTCATTGGTTCACTCAAATTACTAAGGCTGATAGTTGTTTAGGAAGGATACTTTACTGAAACTCAAATGGTACAGTAACTATTTTTTCGTCACATGCTTTTTCTTTGCATCTATTCAATTTTGGTTCATTTGTAAATCAGCAGTATTTAGCTTGACGTTGATATTGTCAATGTTTAAGGAAGTTGTTTCATACTTCTCATTGAACTTTTTAACAAAGTGTGCCTTCATCCTCTGTAATATGATGCTTTCATGAAACTTTTGAACTTTGTTTAGCCTTGGGAAGAGTGAGAACTGTCGCAGTCTGTTGTGCTTTATAGCACTTTAAAAGTTTTCGTTCTATTCTTATTCTTATCATGGTTTCGTATCTTGCCCCTTGATGGCATCTAAGGACATTGCACAGTAGTGTTAGGTCGCGTGTTGTTGGTGTTTTGGTGTGTCCATCGTGACGATGAAGCAGTATAAAACTATTAAGTTATATATATATATATCCTGGTTACAGTTGTGCTTTGTCACTACTTTTATTGAGATAATTCATTGTTTACCTTCTTCAGAGCAATAATTTTTAAGTTCAAGTAAAGCAATGCAGCACAAAACAAATTGGTATTTAGTGTTCCATAATAAGTGAAAAATGAAACAAGACTGAATTTAAAACAAATATCTGAATTTTCGAGTATTGGTTTTGTAGGGATTTTGTTTGATTGGATGGAGGATTTCATCATGAGCTGATATCAGTTAGAGAACCACTGGAAAACCTGGGAGTACTGTACAGCTGTTTCGTCCTAGTTTGGGATCCTGGGGTTCTAGTGAGAAGCCATGATCAGTAGGAAACAGCAGGTTGAAGGTGAGGACAGTTACTCATCGAAGAAGACATTGCAAAGTGGTCGCGTTATCTCGTGAATAGGCAGAAGTTAGAATTAGTGGGCTGGCCATTAGATCGGGTCCCAGTGGCTAAATGGTCTACGAGCTAACTCGCCTTGTAACCAGAAGGTCATGGGTTCGAACCCTGACGGTGGGTGCGTACTGATGAGGAGTCCCAAACTAGGATGAAACAACTGTCCAGTACTCCTAGGTTTTCCAATGGTTCTCTAAATGATGTCAGCTCATGATGAAATCCTCCAAATATCTCAACTGCAAAAAGATCTGAGAGAAATTTATGCTTTTACAGATGTAGACATAGTCAATTTTCTTCTTGTACTGTATTCTATGTATTTCACTTAACATTTAGCCAAATTACCGGATAATCGTTGGATCTGATGAAAATGTAATCAAATCCCAAAATACAAAACAATTGGCCAATAAACCTAATTGTCTAAGAATTAGAAATCTACCATATTCATTAACTTTAAATGAAATTAAAGCAGAATTTCCTTTAGCAGATCAGATTCACTTGGACGTAAATAAACTTGGAATCTTTAATGGGTAAGTACCGTTTTTGTACGCAGATGCTACTAATAATTTGCCTTAAAAACGGTAATATATGATAACCTGACCGATGTATTTCGTTTGTAGGAGTAACTGGATAGGGCACAAATAGTGAGTACCAGTCGGTTCACTCCGTCTTACTTTATGGCAGAAAATCTAAACTAAGATCGAGTGATTAAGTTTTTCACCATAGATACTTTCGTTCATCTGCTCATACTAAGTGGAATAACATGTCAGCAAATGTTAAAATTAGAGGTAATGTTCGAAAAAAAGCGATATATATAGCGGGATATATGGTGCTTTGTATTTCGAATCTCTGCCTTCCTGGAGGAGCATTGTCAGCTGACATAGATTTATGTTGGAAAAAGGTTAGGAGAAGTCAGACATTAGAATGATGCCAACCCATAAATTCATTAGCTAACGCAGATTGTAAGTTGTCTGACTGGCGTCCAAAAGATGCTAAAAATTAATGGTTGGAAAACCTTGATAATTTAGCTCAAAATCGTTCACACCAGCACAGCTGTATTTACCGTTTATCATCGAAATGATTAATGTCTTCATTTATCTTCGTTAAGCTATTTTCTTCTCAAACAATTGTTGTCTAGATGAATGGTGGTAAAAACAATCATTTTTTAATGTGATAATATTTGAGTCCTTACATCACATTCTATTACAAATAAGGCTTAGTAGATTGACAATTTAATTGAATCAGAAATCTGTTAGAATCCCGTTAAAAACTTCTTTCTACGTGATTACATGGATTTTCCTGAAAAAATAGACAATCAGCTGTACACTTCACTGACCACACCAAAAATGCCACCATTGTCTTTTTGTGAGGTGTGTAGATAATTTCACCTTTGTCAGCTGAAAAGTAGGAGGGTATCAAAATTTCTTAGTTAAATATCCTAAGTAATATGCTTTGAAATCAGTCGAAATGGCTTAAACGTATTTACTTATTATCCTCAAAAATTATGTACCAAGTGATACCATATATTACAATAATTATTGGCTTCCAACACTTTTGCATGGCAGAGAAGCTAGCGAATTGTCAGTTCAGGCCCAAATTCCATGTGCCGGAAAATTTGTTCAGTCCTATTCTAGCCTCATTTTAAACGTCTTCACACTTGTTGGACTCAATTTTTAGTAGATTATTCACTACTAACGTGCATTTTGTTTTCCTTCATTTCGCCTTCTTCACACTTATCAAGTAGACACTTGACCAGTTCACTCACTGGTAATTTCCACCCTGTTAAATTTCACGGTCTTGTTGATTATCGTGTATTTTTGTACGACTGATTAGTGAACAAAGAATATTCTTCTCGATGCTTTCTTTGTCAGGTTCTACGGTTATATATCCACATTAGTTAAAGAATTACTGTTATTGACAACATTAATGTTTTAAGTAACATCGAGTCATTGTGATGGCTAGATTACAGTTTGAAACATATTTACGCGATAATTTGCGTGAATATAACACAAAACTGAACATCAGGTAAATCCAGAAAAATAATGTAGATTTTCTGAGGTTGTACATTCCACATCAGGCCACGGTAGCAGTAGTGTTTGCTGAGTTCCTGTTGTTTTAAGTGAATTGCTATGGGATTCTGCTATTTGGAGTATTCTACATCTAGAGACATTTGACAATTTATTCGGCATTCAATAGGCGATAGGAAAAGATTCTTCCATGCTGGCTCTATGACTGTTTGGGACCAGGTGATATAATATCGAATCTTTATTCAGTCATACTGTAGAAACTGTCTTTGTGGCACTTTGTCACTTCTCACTATCTGTAAAGCTGACCAAGTCCGTGAAGAAGATTTTGTCTGTTGAATAATCTTTTGTTTCTCTCATCATTCAGTGGGTATTTCCGTAAAAATATTCACTTCACTTTACTATAATGTACTTTGTTGTCCGGTGTTAGGTCACCTTGTTTTTCTAATCGGATTTTGTGCATTACTACTAAAAACTTCATGTCATGCGGTCTACATATATTGAGTTATTGATTATTATTATTATCACTTGCGTATACATTACACCGCCAATACTCTTTGAATTCCAGTATATTATATCTAAGCTATCCTTTTTCTTTTTCAAAAAGTAAAAAATTCTGTTACATATCTTTCAGATCTTGTATATTAGAAATGAAGAGTAACGATGATCTTCAGGCTGTTTTAAATCAATGTAAGCACAAATATATTGGCGATCGTCTGGTTAGAGCAGAAGCTCAATGTACTATGAAAACACAATCCTCTAAACCTGTCGATCCCAATGCTAGTTTCGGTTTGAGGCTTAAAGAAGTACCCAATGTCATCAAAGACAGTTATATTAAAGGGTTATTTCCTAAGGATTCAGTGGTTGGATTAAGCTCAAGATCAGTGCAAGATTCTAATACCAGGTTAGTAATTAATACTGTTTACATTTGTAAGTGCTGTTATAAATACTTTCATAAGCAGTTTATTTTTAGTCGGCACTCCATCCGGTAAATAGTGCTGTATCACAGTGTGATGGTAATCAAGTGAAAAAGAACTAGCTGGTTTTATTCTTATACCAGTTATAAATACTACATATTCGTAAATACCAGCACTAACGGTTAATCTTCAGCATTTCGATGTAGTCATTGAAAACTGTTAGATTGTGATGTTACATTTAATCTGTATAAGCTTCAAATTCGATCTAATACATTGCTAAGACTGTTCTCGATAACCTACATGATGATTGACGATAGTAGCTGAATATCACTTACACCATTCGTCCATTATGTGGCCGTTCTACTGTAACAGGACAGAGTGAGTAGTGTAAATCAGAGGAGGTTTTTCTCACAATGTGTATTAGCGTAGAGTACTGTTAATTCCAAAGTCAAGTTCCATGCAGTTTTAGTTAGAAAGGTATCATTCACTAGGATGCAGATTCACTCAACTAATGATTTTAAAATAGGGTAAAAAAAATGCTCATCCTAGTTTCCATCAGTAGTTGTACGGGAGACAGGATAATGAAATTTCAAACAATACCGTGGCATTCATTCAAAGAGCTAATTTGCCAAAACTAGCCAGTAGGACCCTGTTGTTCAATAAAATTGCCGAAGAAAACGGCGATTGATCAGACACACTCTGAGGAGACTGTGGGGTGACATTGCTCGCCAGACTGTCGAGTGGAACCCAAGTGGGAAACGACTAGTTGGTCGTGAGTCCGAGGGTGACATGGAGGCGATCCTGTGAGCAGGAGGTGAAAGCTTATGGGTAATCGTGGGTCAAGCCGAAGAAGAAGACTGCAGGGAATAGGACAACATGGAGACATGGTGTTGAAACCCTATGCTCCACTCAGAACCCAAGAGAATAAAAATGAATAATAATACAAGTTGAAAAAAAAAATGAATTTACTGTCATTTAGTGCATTGCTGTTGTGACTGTTTTTACATTTTTATATGCTGGTAAACAAAGACGACCAAGGAGAAAATTAATTACATTTTCAGTAGTTTGTCTTGTATCCATTACGTATGAAGATCTTTTGAACTGATTTTTTTTTCAAATAATTCTATTTTTCTTTTACAGGAATGTGTTTATTTTCTTTAAAAACAATGCTCAGCGTAAATCCGCTTTAAAAATGTTCAAAAATGAAGTTATTATGGGTTATCCAATTTCATGTCGACTATGGGGTATGTGTATTGAATTAATTAATTGATTGATCACTTTTTACTGATCGTAGTCATAATCGTCTTTTTTTAGGAAACAGTTTGTTCTGTCAAAGTTGTACTGTATTGTATGCTGAGATTATTCTAGTACGGTTTGCGAGTATGATACCAATTGCCGTTGGTAATTAAAAGGGTATAATGTCAACAAATTCCCAAGCAAAATACTAAGCCGCATCATCCTGGAAAGAATCAAACAAGCCCTAGATGAAAAACTTCGACCGGAACAAGCTGGATTCAGGAGAAACAAGTCATGTGTTGATCAAATCGCCACACTACGGATCATCATTGAACAAAGTTTGGAATGTCAGTCACCTCTCTATCTCAACTTCATCGACTTTGAAAAGGCCTTTGACAGCGTCGATCGAGAGGTGATTTGGCAACTACTTCGCTACTACGGTGTGCCACCGACAATTATACATCTCATCCAACAGCTGTACGACAATGCTGCATGCCAAGTAGTCCACAACGGGAAACTTATGGAACCCTTCGAAGTGAGAACAGGAGTAAGACAAGGCTGCCGACTATCGCCATTGATTTTCCTGACTGCAGTAGATTGGATAATGCGACAAACAGTGGGCAATGAGGTAACAGGCATAAAATGGACTCACACAAAAACTTGGAGGATCTGGACTTCGCCGATGATATATGTCTGATTTCCCACAAACTGGAACATATGCAAGCAAAAAGCAACAAGTTAGCAGAAGAAGCATCAAAGATAGGACTTCACTTCAGGTGAACATAAAAAAACAGAGGTGATGAAGATTCCTGGGCAACACCAACAACAGCAACAACAACAACAGACAACGATCAGCATAAATGGGAGGAACCTGAAAGAAACAACCTCCTTTACCTATCTGGGAAGCATCGTTTCAACTACAGGCGGAACTGACGAGGATATCAAAGCAAGGATCGGAAAAGCAAGACAAGCTTTCACTACTCTCAAGTCTGTGTGGAGGTCAACAGCACTCAGCATGAAAATGGAAATAAGATCCGGATTTTCAACTCCAATGTGAAGTCAGTGCTACTTATATACGGATCAGAGACTTGCACTGCGCGTCATAAAGAGCATCTCAAACAAACTACAGACCTTCATTAACAGTTGTCTTCGCTCAATACTCAAGATCAGGTAGCTGGCTAGAAAAGATCAGCAACAGGGATCTCTGGGAGCGAACCAACCAGGAACCGATTGTGAAACAAATAGGTAGGAAGAAATGGAGATGGATTGGCCATACTCTTAGGAAACCATCAAGTGACATCACTAGACAAGCCCTTGAGTGGAACCCGAATGGGAAGCGGCGAGTTGGTCGTCAGTGCAAGGGTGACTTGGAGGAGGTGATGTGAAGAGGAGATGAAAACGTGTGGGCAGACATGGAGCCAGGTGAAGACTCTAGCAGAGAACCGAACGCAATGGAGACGCTCGGCTGAAGCCCTATGTTCCTCTAGGAATTAAAGGAAATAATAATAATAGTGTCAACAAATAAATGTTGGTTCTGTCTGAAAACTGTGAGTATACAAAGATTGAAAACAAATGAATTAATAGTGTGTGAAAAGGGATTTAAGGGAGGCACTAGGACAAAGATTCCTTGAGAAGACATAAATGAACACGAGTTTATCATAGCTGACTAAAAAAGCTGTTATAAGCGTAGAATGAATCACTATATTTTGATGGTGGACAATTTTTAAATTTATTCTTATTATATCAAATAATTTGTAAGTATTTACACATTGGAAGTTAAATTCCTATTTAGGAAAATATTTTGTCACCTGTAATCTCAATAGGCTGTACTGATAAAGGTAATGACTTTTCCGGTGCACTGCTAAGTGGTAAGATATTTCGAATTGATACATAGCTATTTCATGTTCCTCTTGTTCTAATATTTTGTTGATTGTTAAGTTCAGATTGATTTGGATCCTAAGTTATTGCGTTACAGTGAAAGTGCCGAATATATTCGTTCCAACCATCTCTGTGTATATGATGTTTTTCTTATGCGGCTTTTTCAATGGTGCTCTTGTTTATCTGTCCTCATATAATGTTTATCATGATTTAAAGGTGTTATTTATGTCAGCTCAAGTTGTTACACAGTATCATCTAAGAGTTTACGTTAATTTTTGAGCCACGCCTTTACAGAAGAACTAGTATCTGTCGGTGATTTTGCCGTGGGTTTCCACACTATTTGCTGAGTAGATATCTTGATCCAGGCAAACAACGTCGTATAAGGCTTTTTGATCATGAGAGCAGACATTCCTTGCCAGATATCCTTCTAGACGCACCCTCAGAATGGTTGGTGTTTTCCCACTCCCGACTCTCCGGCCTCAACTGCCTCATGAATTGCTTCTTGGATGGTGCGTAACCGGTCCATCTCAGCAGTTCGTGAAAACACTTGAGAAATTCTCACAAATACACAACACTTTGTAGGTCACATGTAACCACTACCCTTATGAAGTGGAAAACCCTGTAATCGTATATGCTGACGATACTCCTCGGTGGCCCCCGCCACGTCTGACATCTCAGTAGAGTCCTAGTCATAAACCTTAGATCCACACTTTAGTTACCAGGTACCCAGATGCTTCACCCTGGGATGGCAATGATCACATACTCCCTTTTGGGGTCAAAATGAACAAATGATTATCTGATGTCCAGAGGCTGGATATCCCGGACCGTAGACTGATAAACCCAATGGCTGCGCTGCTCCCACTGAATCATGGATGGAACCCTGCGACTTTCGTGCTCACCAATCTTTCACTTATCAATCTCACTTAACAGTTTCCCAAGCCGAGATCCTCAGAAGCCTTAAAGGTCACCGTTCTTTAGGAGCTAATCCCGATCGTAACCTCCTTGGAAGTTATCTAGAAGGTTCAGACCGAGCTTTCTTTTCAGTTTTTAACACCGGAATGCATGACTCTCCGCAACGGATGCTTCCACTCGGTGAATGTATAACCTGGCACCTAAATGCATGCCGGTCCATGTAAATAATAGCGCATGTAGGCGTCGATAAAATCCCGTCTTCCCTTAAGAAAGTTGTCGTTCGGATGTGCATAAGGTAAGTCCTATTCACTGTATTCATGCATTGGGTTGCAAAATTGAAATGGTGAGTTTGAATATTATCTAGCGTTCATCACCGGACTAGTGGACATAAAATATCCACTAATAAGAGTTGAAAAATCATAATTTCAAACCTATTGTGCATGGGAATTCCAGCATCCGAACCTGTTTCGGGCACTGGTAACCACGTGAATGCAGTTCCTGACGTTGCTCTTCTGCACTTTCGATCAAACTTTAAGTTAAAGGTACGGAAAGTGGTCCCTTAAAGCAACTACCTGTCTCGATCTAGGCATTATTCTAACCCTCACATGAAACTACCAAACGACAAACAATAAAAAAACTGAAATCTATTTTACGCTTTCACCATATGACCAAGCATTTAAACTAAGAGCTTAGTTTTCTCAAATATAAACTGTTTTGTTTTATTTTATTCGTCTGTACATTTTTAGTATCTTTATTTTTATTAGCCCCTCGTTATTGTTTATATTTTCAGTCTGTCTATATCTCTCCGAGTGGCTAATTAGTTACTTTTAGAAACCTGGCCTCTAGTGTTATATCTAACACGCTACTGTGACATCGCATGTTGCGTTCAAGCGTGCCACCTATGACTTTCTCACAATAATGCAAATCAGGCAGCAAGCAAGTATTCTGAGAAGACTGACTGTTGATTATGTTTCATCCCAGCAACCCAATTACAACTAATTGCTTCGGATAACTACCCCACCTGTTGGTTTAATTAGTACATTTCGCATGCGCCTATCCTGAAATTATGCGCTATCGGTGTATGGCTTAGCTGGTGCAAATGATGCAGTAAGCGCTTAAGCAAAGCTACAAACTGACCATGTTTATCCGTTGTCTTACCATGCAGGATGATGCTGAGAAATTGAATAATGAACATGTCTAATTGTACACTTAGGTATCTGAAAGGAACTCTAGTTATTCAGGTGTCATAATGCACCCAGCTCAGACAAATTACCACTAGCTCTTTTTAAAGATGGCTATGGAACTCTAGTCAGGGAGCTGACCAGATTTTGTGAGGAATTATGGGGAATTGAGAATGTCCCATTAATTTGGAGTGAGCACGTTATTAATTTTTTGTGAGTATATTCCAAATAATTTCTTCTAATTATGAAAAGTGTGTCATCTACGGAACGTATGCAGATTTCTGGTTCAATTATTGGACGAGTTCCACTACCAGCGAGTTAACGTCAAGCAAGTGCGCTTACCAAATGTCGTGGTGTTAACTGGGGACTTATTTGCACATGTAGAGTGTTTAGGCTGAAAGATTTGTTTAAGTGACCAATGGGAATCATGTTCTGCGGCTTTACGCAGATCACGATTTATTTCTAACTTACAGTGCATCCTGGCTCTGCCACCCAAGCCTTAGTCCAAACCGATTACATTTCCATTAGCTACTGATGGCGTGGGTGGATACAGAACTACCTCTTTTGCCACACTTGTATGGATTTTGATCGTGCTTCACTGTGTGGCAGGTTTCTCTTGCGATTTGGTGATTGTTAACATCACATATTCACTGTAAGTCAGTTGTACTTCTTAATGTAAAGTCTGCTTTTCATTCGTGGGATAGGACTGTTCGGTAGAATTGTCTGACAGAGATATGTTCCTGATAAGTTTGTCGACATCCTCAATGCCTTAAACATAGTTCACGCCAAGTGCAGAGGGGTAATGCAACCAGCTATGACGCCTGTTGTCACCTAGAGGTGGAATTAGACAGGATTGCCCAATGCTGTTATTTTTATAATCTTCTAATCAGTGGCATTCTGAAGACGACTGTGAAGGATGTGTGTAAAGGTTTGGGTTTCCTGATCTGAGGAAGATATTTTAAGATTAGCAGAAGTTTTAACTCGCGCTCATCCTCGAAGGTGGACTGTTAAAAGTAGTGGGAAAGTTCGTGTATCTAGGTAGTTGTGTGAAGGCTATCAGAAGTGTGATAAAGGAAATTTCGAATTGTGTAGTGAAAGCCAGACAATCATTCGTCTACCTGCGCTACATCTGCCGCCGTCGTGACGTTATTCTGGTCGGGTTTATGAAGCTTCGATGCACGTAATCTTGCTTGACGTCTGTATAACTTGACATGTCCGAACTAAGGATGAGCAGAGAGTTTTCGTATTCGATCATCGCAGCCTCCATAGAACTGCTTACATCGCATGTCTCATTGCGTAAGTAATTCTAAGGTCCAGCAGTGTATGTTTGGAAATGTTGAGCATAGTCTTTAAATAGTTAGTGTCACCTTTGGAAACCAGTTCCATCTGCTTGGACATGTGCTACGAATGACGTTCCAATGGTCAAGAGGTGGTCAGCCAAAGAAGTGGTGCCGTGGGATGAATGTTGAGTTAGCGTTTGTTGGCGCATCATTACTCCTTAGGTAGGATTTGAGATGTCAGCTATTTCAGTGGCTTGATACGTCATTATCAGATAGGGTTGGGAGTTGCAATCACTTGTGGCTGTGCTCCAATTTCTTTGCTTTTAGTAAATCTGCTTACATGCTTTCATGGTACCCTTCCTCAGTTATTCTACTTATCTTCTTATGTTGCTATTATTTTGTGTTTCACAAGTCTTCATATAATAAATAAAGTGAATACCTTTAGGTTGCCACTTATAATCACGAAAGCATGCAGCGATCTGTCTCAGACTCCTAATATTAGCAGTTTTCAACAAATCTGACTACTTTTTCGCTCCTTATAAGACTAAGAAGTGATGCAGGCGTATCTTGCAGCATCGTGTTAGGTTTGGACAACCTTGCATTTTGTTGGCGCTTCTACACCACGAATTTATGACGTTTATGAACTCTAAGTGGACTAGGTAATCGAACAACTCTTGAGACGTTTCTAGATTAACACAATCACCTTTACCGAAAAATCTTTCATTGTAATAGTACATCATTGTTTGTTTTCATCTCATTATAATGAACAAACTCCGCTTATAATCTCTATAGCATACAGAGTTAACTACTGGCTTCTCATTTATTATTATTGTTGTTTAAAACACAAGACCTGGTACAGTATAGGCACCAAAAAGATGCGACACACAAAATCGACAAAACAGCATATGAGAAAAATAAACAGAGAACGAATAAAGAACTTCATCTGCGAAAGAAGCAGTTATATTTAACAAGACTAAACAGCATTCATCGAATCATTATCAGAACGGGAAGAAAGAAGGAAATTGCAGCACGTCCACCATTGATTGCGTTTCTTGGCCATTTCCAATAACATTTTTAGTCACCGGTTTGAGTTGTCTCTTGGATCCTAACCAGGGAACCGTGATGTACCAACCAATACTAACCTGTCACAAATATCCTTCATCCCACGACACCACGTCTCCACCTTTCCCATCCAGTCCCAGGTCTAGCGAATAGAGATCGGTACGGAAGCCTCTGGATGACATTCATAGCACATGTCCAAGCCGGTGTTTTCAGATAGCGACACTCAATGAAGGGTGATCTTCACTGTGTCCAAATACACGATGCCGGACGTCACAATTACTCACACTATGATACCATCGAACGAAAGCAGTTCTACGGAGACAGCGATGATCGAATACTCAGAGTCACCACAAATCCCCCGCTCAGAGTGGATAGGTTTCACAGGCGTAGAGCATGACTACATTCACTGAACCATTTTAAACCCGACCTTCGACAGCCAGGCTAACGGTACCAAAGATGGCCCGAGTTGATGTATGCCACCATAGCTTTCATCATGCAGCTGGAAATCTCATCGCCACACCTCTAACAGCGCTCACATAACTGCCTAGATATACGAACTTATCGACGAATTCAAGCGGTTCACCTGAAAGAGTGAGTGTAGACTCCTGCCAATCGTGTAACAGTACTTTGCACTCAGACGGCGCGAATCAAATGCTATACTTACAGACACTGATTGAGTGCAATTTTGGCAGCCTGTATGCTATCACACAGTAAGACGATATTGTCTGCATACTGTAGTTCGAAAAGTCTCTTGCCGGGAAGCAGATCTACAGTACCACGTAAGTCCTTCAGAATTTCACTGATTGCAATGTTAAAGGGAAATGGAGAGATTGGGCACCCCTATCTAACCCCACTGTTGGATGGGAACAGTAATGATAGCTGGTTGTTTGTCACCACTCTACCTGAGGTATGTCTGTATATAGGGCTTTCAGGATGTTGATAAGCTTCTCAGGTACACCCCTCTCGAACAGACACTTCCAGAGAACAGTTCTGTCCAACGAATGGAAGGCAGCCCTAATATCAAGAGGCACAACGATTGTTGACCTGCAATACGTGTGCCGGTGTTCCAACAACTGACGGGGGATGAACACATGATCAATGCATCCACGGCCTGAACTATGCAGAGCCTGCTCTTCGTGAATCAACTACTCACGTGTTTTTCACAGCTTGAGGAGCAAGACAGCAGCCAATATTTTAGATGCACGTGTTACTTCGACCCTTTTTAAAGATGGGACGATGATGGCTTCATTATACATTTATGGAACATCGTCTCTTTCCCATGCTTTCCTGAATAATCTAGTCAAAGCCATGAAGAGAATCTCTCCACCATCTATAAAGAAAGCCGGGGTAAATTGTTTTGCCCTGGTGCCTTATAGCTTTTCAACACTTGGAGTTCCTTTTGGACCTCCGCCTCGATCGGTGGGTCGGTACTGACTGACCAAGGAGATGGACGCTGGCGCTGCTGCTTTTCAGGCTGGTAATTAGCTTAGTATTTGCTTCACAGACCATCTCGCTGACACCTAACTTCTTGGTGCCATTGGCTCGGATGAGCTGGAACAGCTTCCGACTGCTGCCAGATGCAACTATCATTCTATCCCACACGCACGTTGTGACCACCAGGCTTCACGGTCTTTACGTAAACACTGTTTAATCTTGCGCGTAATCACCTGTCTCATGTTGTTGTACTCACTGACTGCCGGAATGGACCGGCGTTCATCCAGGAGTTGCAAGAAACTCAGTGGTTTCTAGCACAGCATTCTGTTAAGCCGCAAGTGGCTTTACTAGCCATATGCATGGCGCCTTGCAGTTGTAGCTAATATTCATCTATACTACTTGCAGGGTTGCTAGCAAGCATTGATTGTAACTCATTCGGGTATTTCAAAGAAGTAGCAGGTGCTACCAGTTTGCTCATATCAACATGTAAATGACTCCGTTAATGAACCCCACGAAATCGCAAGACAAACCTGTCACACACTAAGGCCTGATCGGAGTCCAGGCATGTGCTCTAGAAGGAGCCTCAGTCCTGTATGCATCCTCACCATCGGGAACTGACAGCAATATGATCAATCTGAGTTCAGGCTTTATTGGCAGAGGGAAGACACCAGGTAGCGCTACAGTGATGACCGTACCGGAAGTCGGTGCTGGCTGGAAATAGGTTGTGATCTGCACAAAGCTGACCTACCACCATGTGAACCCCTTTAATCACCTAGACGACCGACCTGTGCATTCAATTCCCCAGTCAGCAATACGATATCTCTCCGACGCGCCTATTTCAAAAGATCGCCCAGTTGATAGTAGAACTCATCCTAAATTGTATCCAGGTTGCAATCCGTCGGTGCCTAGGCAGAGATAACAAACAGGCACCGCATATCTGGCCTACTGCTTCTTAGTCTCGTATAACCTCCCAGCTTCGCAGCAATTAAAGGACTGTTAGTGGGGGATCTAGTCGAGTAATGTAGCTTCGGCTATAGCGCTTAGTGCGACACCACAGGGTCCCCAGACAAGCTCAGGTGGTACATACTACTCGAACTTTCAGATGTAGAGGATAATCGAAGCACTCCACTGGGATCTTGAGTGCGCTTCTTTGAAATAAAGCAGACGTCGATAATGAGGCTTTCCAATGTTCCTACCAGACCTGCCTATTGTCCGATTTGCATCAATGTCCGAACATTGTTTGTGGCCAGCTTGAAAGTGACACGCGGTCTCATGATACTTGTATTAGATGTTGAGCTGGGGACCACCATTTTGAAGGCTATCAACTGATAACTCAAAACGACACAGATAGCCTGAGAATTCGGACAAGGGCGAAGGGCTGACGAAAGTGAAGACACCGAGGATAACAAAAGTGAAGTAAAAGCTTATGTATAAAAATACGGTTAAAAAGAAATGCATCACTTGAAATATCATTATTGTTCGAAAGCATTGTTAAGAGCGTGCATTTAGTTTAACTGACAGTTTGCCGTTTCATTTCGTTGATTGTGTGAGGGCTGAGGTAGTGCCCGGACACTTAGACCGAAACAGGTGGTTGTCTTTAGGCACCACCCCGAGCCTTTGACTTGGTGTCTCATCCGCAAGGCAGTGTCAAGAGCTATGTTCCCATGGCTGCCGTTGTCCAATACAGGTTCATACGCCACTGGATCAGATTTGATTCTGGAGTCTATGTACTTCATAGTAACTGCTTTTAGCCCAACCGCTTTCCAAACAACCTTCTTAGCGTGGTAGGACCTTCAGAAACAAAAGTTCCAGCCAGTGTACTTGTTGGGTCACCGTGGTATGCAAGCCGGACCACCACGACAAGGTAGCAGTTGTTGGCCTGGACTCGCTTCTCATGCATTATCTCTATCCATCGGATGCGTAAGCGTTTTGAAAGGACATTCTCCTTCCTAACATTTTGACTTTTACAGGTTTTTTTTACTCCTCCCTTCACCTGAATAGGTTGATACTAGTGACTATATTTCTTATCTGTGTATTCAAATAGAGATATTTTCTAATTTGCTTAGAGTAGAAACATTGGGTCGTTGAGATTTTGATCTTGGCAATCGAAAAGTTATTTCAACGTTTAGTATCTTAATTCTTTGTATGGTACTTCTTGTTATTACACCAGTCAGGGTGTGTAATGTAAACTTATATTTTATTTTCCTTCAGTTGCTACTAAACAACGACACAAATCTCAAAAAAAAGAAACGACCGCACCGGTTATATCGGATCGTGTAAAGTGGAAACCAGGTGAGCCAAAATCCTAATATACTGACTTTTACTGTTATGATGAAGACTGAATAGCATTTTTTCCAAGACAGCAGATATTTTACATGGAAAGGCAGGCACAAGAAATTGATCAGGATCAAATGATGCCATTTCTCTCATCAGTTTTTGTCAACTGAACTATTTTAAAGGACTGCATAATTTCGAATTGAATGTCTTGATGAGTTTACCAATCTTTCTCAGTGTAACTTGGACAACAATAGGTTCTGTACAGATCCAAGCACAGTGCTCACGATGACAAACACGCCAAGTATCAACAAGGGATAACTTCCTGCTGTACGAATCCTGTCAAAGAGTGAGTATATGGTCGATGCATGCGCCTATATACACTCTGAAGTAATACCAGGAATCGCAGCCAATCCGGTCGACAATTCACTCGGTCGGTCGGTCGGTTTTCGACATAGAACTTTGCACATATGTGCGGCAGTTCAAGTCGCCACAATCTATGTAGCACGCAAAGCAAGAGAAGAAAGTAGAAGAAATGCATAATATAGACAGTAAACAGAGGTGTGAGACAAAGGAATAGTAATAACGGAGAACAAAAGTTTAATTGGAAGTCATAAGTCACAAGGAGTGGATGCATCTGCGCCACTGAGAACGATTTTGAGCCATGTCACCAATTGTTTCCAACCATTGGTTTTTACCATCCCGAGGGCCCCAACCAGGAAGTCTACATCTTCCTACGTGGCTTAGATTAACTGTTGTGGATTTCATTGATTGGTGCCATGTTTTGGTTTGACCGCCGCTAGCTCTTTTCCAGCCTGACCCTATATCAGCTAACATTGCCCGTCGAGGAAGGCGATGACTAGGCATTCGTAGCACATGTCCTAACCATCTCAGTCGAAGTAATTTCACAGTCTCGTCGATTGATTTCCCCGCCTTACCTAGCACTCGACGCCTAACCTCAATATTGCTCACCTTATTATACCACTTCACGCGGGAGATAGAACGCAGACACCTATGATCGAAGACAGTTAATCTTTTCATGTCTTCTGCTCTCAATGGCCAGGTCTCACAGCCATAAAGGAGGACGGAGCGGACTGTTGAGCAGTACACACGCCCTTTGGTCGATAGTCGGATATCGCGTCTACGCCAGAGACGGCGAAAACTGGCGAATGCGAACCTAGCCCTCTGTATTCGTGCTGAAATTTCGTCGGAGATCAACCCGTTGGGGCTGATGGTACTTCCCAAGTAAGTGAAGCGGTCAACGTGCTCTACCACTTCACTTCCTATTTCTAATCTAGGGGTCGATGAAGTCCAATCCTGCAGCATCATCTTACATTTTATAGGGGCGAATCGCATGCCAAACATGCGGAGATTGTTGCTCCGACAATTCACTACCTACTAGTATCTATAAAGAGTAATAGAGTCAGACTACCAGATCCTGACGATCTCTTTTGTTTCAAGTAGAGGGCGATCTCGGCAACTTCATGCAAAGTTGAAGGACTGATATCCATCTCCCATTCATGCTGTGGTTCATTGGTTGACAAATGTAGTGCAAGTTTATGTCAAGATGATCCTTTGTATCAGTTAATACAGTGATGTACACACTAATCACCGTTCCGTTAGCACTAACAAATGATTGACGACATTAGATAAACACAGAAAGACTAGAATTAATCACCTGAGGGGGTTACTAGTTCTATTCACAATGAAATGCATTTCTGCTGAATCACTGAGAGTATTAAGAATTTTGATTGACAGTTTGTTGACTGTGTTAGCTGTCGTCCGTTTGATGTACCATTTTAAAGTATGCATATGATGCAGAGTCTTCTTAACACCTTGATTAGAAATCTCGGTACGTTCGGTATGCTATTCGTCCCTATCAGGTGTAAAATGATTCTACAGATCTGGTGTGCACCAACTTCTAGTCTAAAAAAGGAAGTGGAGTGGCTGAATGTGGTGACCATTTCACTTATTTGGGAAGTTATATTAACCCTAATAGACTGCTTGCTAACAAATAAAAACGCTTGTGTATCGTTTGGTAAATTATGTCATCTTTGTTTATACATGATGTCCGGTTATTGACGTGTGTATTGTGCAGCAGTTCACTATGTACAGTTTTATAGGTGTCAGATTTAGCCGTTAAAGATGAAAAAATTGTAGAAGTTAGCTTTCACTAGTCATAGGTGTTCGCATTAAAAATTTCGTGGTAAGTGGTATAATATATTGACTTATGTTGAGGCTAGGCGTAGTGCTAGGCAGGGAGGGGAAACAATCAATCGAGTTGTAAAGCTACATTGATTGAGATAGCTAGGATACGTACTACGCTTGTTGGGCTACTCCCTTCCTCGACGTGGAATAATATTAGCTTACAATGGATTAGGTTGCAGAAGAGTTAAGGGTGACCAAATCGAAACATGGTATCAGTTGATTAAGTTATTGATTGCCTATCTGATCCACGTATAGAGGTGTAGACTGCCGGACTAAAGTTGGCGAGACTTTTAGAACGAATGACTGGAGATTGTTGGCGATGTGGGTCAAAATGCTTCTGAGTGAAGTAGATGCATTCATTTATGCACTTCTGCGCTTAGTTCTCCGTTGAAAACTTAGTCAGTCACCCCCCAGTGTAATATTAGCGATGGGTAGGATTTTCTAGATTTCAAGTGTACCGCATAGTTTTGATTGGACACTAGTCAGTAACTAGTGTAATGTGTCTAGTCCTGTCTTTGGTGCAGACTGAATTCTATCAGTTAAGTTTGCAATGTGGCCATCATGCTAGGTGGCTTGCCATCATGGTGCACTGTGAATTTTTGGTATTAGATGGTTAGAGGCAATAAGCAGGAAGCTTTGGACCTAGATTTCGTGCTAGTTGGCACTCATCAGCAAGGTGTATCTGCAACCTCGAAGGAACTCATATCCCTTCTGAGATTCGAACCCGTGTAATCCAGTGTCGCAGTCAGAGACGTTACCGTATAGTTCTATGATTACAACTAGAAATCACAGTCATTTCGTGACGATTACTTGTCAGTGAGTTTTCGAACCAAAGATCGAGGACCAGTTCTAAACTCGCAATTCACCTATTTGGTTGATGACAGTTAGCAGTGGGAATCCAAGATGTTCCTTTTTTTATGTGTGACTCATCAACTAGATGTACGTGCATCCTCAGTGAGTGTTGGTGAGTTGATTTTTGCATTGTGAGCGTAATTGTCCCATATCACGAACAGTTTTCAGTTATTCATTCTTAGTGTCTCTAAGATCACAGTCTAGCGGTCTGCACCTACCTACGTTTCGCAAACCAACAGTCAACAACTTCATGGACTGACACCAGGTTTCAGTTTCCAACCCAGCCCTATGTCAGCGAATATTTCTGGTCGAGGAAGGCAATGTCTTCGTATTACCTACACGTGTCCTAACCATTTGAGCCAATGCAGCTTCACATTGTCACCAATTGACTTACCCTCCCTACATGTCATTCTGCGCCTAGCCTCCTTACTGCTGACAACATTATACCAAGTAATACGTGAAACTGATTGCAAACAACTATAGTCAAGATCCGTTAGTCTGTTCATTTCTTAATTTCTAGCAGCCAATTCTCACGCTTTTAAGCTAGAGGGATTGGAGTGATGCACAGTGCACATGTCCTTTTATGAATAAGGGGTACCACGCCAAATGGGGATCTTTTAATCAATGTCTAAATTTCGTCGGCTGACCCAATTTCCCAAAAAAGCGAAGTGGTGATAACATTTAACCATTTCACTGTCTATCCTTAAACTGCTAGTCGGAGACAACCAGTGCTGCCACCATTATCTTTTTATGGTCATTATTTTCTTTCTGTGTGTATTTTTGACCCGGTATATAGGTGTTTTACGCATAGTTTGCTAACAGTAAAGTGAAATGTATGTGTTATGTGTCCAGGTAGTATTGTGATGAGAGCTGTCTGCTAGCCAAAATTGGAAGACAGCAATTTACGTCAATGTTTACGTTCCAAGTCTTGGTCATGAGGAACTCAACGACCAATCACAGCAGACTTAGAGTATGTGAATACGGTTAGCAGATATATCAGCGGAATGTCTAAGAAACGGCAACAAAGAGATTACAGAATAACCTTCAGCAAGGAAAAAGCCAGTCAGAAGACGTTGCTTCTCTGCTAACAATAACAAATAATAATGTACATAAAATTGTTGGTATTAGATGGTTGGAGGCAATAAGCAGGAAGCCTTAAACCTAGGTTTCGTGCTAGTTGGCACTCATCAGCAAGGCGTATCTTCAATCTCGAAGGAACTCATTTCCCTTCTGAGATTCGAACTCGCGTCACCCAGTGCTGCAGTCAGACACGTTACCACTGAGCTATTCAGTCGATTGACGTCCTGTAGGACTTTATTCGATATTTTTGATTGGACACTAGTCAGTAACTGGTGTAATGTGTCTAGTCCTATCTTCGGTGCAGACTGAATTCTATCAGTCAAGCTTGCAACAATTCACAGTGCGCCGTGATGGCGAGCCACCTAGCATGGTGGCCACATTGCAAGCTTGACTGATAGAATTCAGTCTGCACCGAAGATAGGACTAGACACATTGCACTAGTTACTGAATAGTGTCCAATAAAAAAATGTACATAAAAGTCTATAAATATCTCTTGATTTTCTCAATAAACGATCTGTTGCCTGGCCCTTGTCTTGTATCGTTGCAGTAATAATAATAATAAAGACAAAATACCACCATGCTTATCTAAGATAAAAAGGATCATGATTTCTGTTTTTACCTTTTTGTAGTTAAACCCGTGAGGTGTGAACAAACCACAAGTTTTAGTGTTTATTCCACTGCTCCCGCTGCAACTAAGAAACACATTGTATTTGATGCTGGTAAGTTTATGCATTTTATTTTTATTTATTCATATCTGCTTCAACTGATAGCTTTTAATCATTTTTGCATCCAATTATTGAGGATATTAAATGTCTCTGTCTCAAAATTACCAAGGTATTTAGCAGCACACTTAGGTGGGTAATGCATGAATTTTAATTTTGTGTATTACTCTTCGTTATCATCACTTCTTTGAGTTGACATGCTAGACGAAATCAGAAGATTAGAAACTTTTACGGCGAAAATATCTGTCAAAGTGAAACTGAAATTTGACCGGATAAACAATATTTTAGATCACAGGTGTTTATTTTAGGGATTTGGAATAATAATAATAACCAAAACCAGTTAGATGCAATTGGAAACTAGGTTCGTGTAGAAATTTACATTGAAATTAATCTAAATTCCCACAGAAATCCATAATCTAAATAGCAATCTCCAGCTCACTGACAGCTATTGGATAGATGTTCTCAAGTTGTGCTAAGAAGTCGTGACTAATGGAGCCCATTATATCAAGGTAAAGGGAGCGCTTATCGAAGGAAGACATTGGTTTGGTGGGGGAAGAGTAACGCTATATCACAAACTGATGGAAGTCGAAATCCACTGCTCATTGAATCCCGCCCCCATAGGCTGGATGGCCAACAGGCCTTGTAACCTGACTGAAGGTTCGCAGTCCGATCCTTTGTGAGGTCGTGGGTGCACACTGTGAAGAGTCCCAAACTGTGACTCAGCAACTGCTCAGTGTCCCCTGGTTTTCGATGTTGCTTCATGACAAAATCTACATTGAAATAATATTTTTCTGATCATATATTGAATGTGCTGATTTTCGGTTCTTTCATTCCGTATTTCACATCATGAAGCCTATTTAATTATATCACATTCAAAGGAATTCATTTTAGCAGTCCGATTAATACATTATATTCCATCAAAAACACTTAATTACTTAATGTGAGTTACTATTAACGGGAGTTGATCACCATTATCATTTCAATGTTAAGTTTACTCAATTAGCATTCCTCACTTTTGTTGTACTTATTACGAATTAGTAGTGACTCATTGACCGGGTGCAGTGTTTTCATGTTTAAATGTCCGAGTTTCATTCAATGCTTGAGGAATGCTGATATCGTCAAGTCGATTGGCGTATGGATAAGTGGAATGGAGTTTTAACGTGTAATCCACTAGCTGGGTTGTACCTCTTGGTTAGTTTCAGTTATATGTTCTGATTGACAGGACATCAACATTCGCCTACTTCTAGTGTTATCTCCTTAGAGTTTTGCTAGCTCCATGTTCAACCTTCACTCTTTTCTGGGCTTATTACCGGCTAGGCTATCTTTAGGATTGCGTCGACCGGGGATCGAACCCAGACCTAGCAAGCATTCTACCACTAAACCACCCATACTATCATCATTTTATGAATCCTTATATACTATTTTCCAGTTTAGATATCAGTATAATACTGTTGAGTTTATAGTAAACTAGTAATCTCACTCAAACACTAAGACAGGATGTTTTGGATAGTAAATAGCAACTGATTACAATGTATTTCCGAAGAAAGTTTCTTAATATTGACTTCGAAATTTCTAAACCTCAGCGAGATATGGAGTACTTTTTACTTCAAGTGAGGGAAGTTTCTCTGTTCTAATCTCCTGTCAGCGATGTACTTGGGTGCACACTGAATTTCAAATCAGTGCTCTTTTTCTGGAATTAAAAAATCTGTCTCAAGTGTAAGCACCCAGTTCTCCAGCTGGAGTGGTACTCATCTGCATGACCCGTTGAGCCGCATCTTCATGACAGTTATCACCTATGAGACTAAATGTCTTTATTGTTTCATATGTTTGCTCTTGTCTCCCAGTAATATCAATAAATTTCTTTACAACCTGTGGTAAAAAAAACACTACTTGTTCAGATCATCAATTTCTGTTGTTCATCAAAATGCTATCCGCGTTTATCTTTTCAAGCAATGAATCACCTTATCTTAAATATGCGGGTCACCAAATGCTTTGCGTGTAGGGGTGGGGTTGAGATTGTATGTCCCAACAAATGCATGTCGCCTGCCGAAAGCAATGAATCGCAGCTGCATCATGATGTAAATATCACGTGCTCATTACTTTTATCTTTTCTCTGCCTTATTCCAGATGATGAATGATCCAGAGGAAGAGACCATTTGTCGAAGTCAGTCCGTTTCATGAATTTACAGTGTTTCTGTTCAGGCTGAGTGAATTTCTATTAGAATTCGATCAAATGTACAAAACTGCCTTATATATTATTTAACATTCATGTATGTATATATATGCATATTTACCTCAACATCGTTTGAGATTTTTACTGTAATAAACTCCTTCGGAATGCTCCCCGAGTTTTGAATGGCTAGAGAATTTTTGGATTTATTCGTTTGAAGTAGATACCTAATCTTAGTTGAAGTCATATTTGAGTTGCCCGGATGGGGTGTTTTGTTCGGCTCTACAGATTTCCTTGTCTCAGTTACCTTCGAGATTCCATCGCCTTATATTAGCCTATTATAAATTAAAATAATCCCGGTATGTATATGAAAAAATCTAAACAATTTTTTTCTTATATTAGCCTAGTATTTTTGAAAACGTGTGGTGTGTGTGTATAGTTTTGGTACTGCAGCTGACATTAAGTAGAATATTTTATGCCTTGTGATCATCATAAAACTTATGCGGTTAGATTTTTCCCTGGATATCACTGTAGGCAATTGAGAGCTGATTTCTTGTATGGCGATTTGACAATCATATATTTGTGCAAGTGATAAATAACTCTTAGTCTTAAGAATCACAGTTTTAGGTTATCTCGAAACAACGTATCGCCCCCTTGATTTTAGTCTTGTGAATGTTCCATAATTAATTTTGTTGAGCTGTAATGACCGGCTTCTATTTGGTATATGTAATTAGTGGTCTACGTTGTTACTTCATAAGTATTGTGGTGGTGTGATACAGACAATGTGTACCAACGGAATATTATTCTCATATACTCCCACAGTTCAGTACTGCGTTAGCAAGGGAATACTATGTATATTTGAACATTCTATCTCATGGCGTTAACGTAAACCAAAATCACACTCTCAGTGATTGGTTAAAAAACGTAAACTGTATATAAATAAACAGCGGTTTGATTAATGGAAAATATACCTTGGCTTCCATGTCTTGCTTTCTGTTGTTATAGTATGGGCTAACATTGGAAATCAAGATTCGTACGTCTTCCTACTTGGGACTAGTTATCTTGGTATATTTGTGTCCCAACTGGTGATTGAGCTCCCACTTGGACTGTAGTCCAGTTGCCATCGTTTGAAATGACAACGGTTATCCATAAGACATTCCTTATAGCAGTCTAACACTTGATACTGTTTGCAAATAAAATGACTTTGTAGCCTAGTTAAGGTCGGTGGTATAGTGGTTAGGACGCTCGCCGACCATGCACATGGTCCGGGGTTCGATCCCCGGCCAGCGCACTCCTTTACCTTGGTGAGCCAGAAATAATGCTGGTAAAGAGGAAAGGTTTGGCATGAGGCTAGCAACCCCATCCTGTAAAATAAACACTGCTAAAGAAACTTGAAGCCCTATGTTCCACTGGGGAACGTGGAAAAAAAGTCTAGTTAAGAATGAACTGACATTTGAAACTATGAGTACAGTCACTCAGTCTCAGTGGGATACTATTTATTAGGATGCAAATGTATCTAATTAATATGTGCTAAACATAATGTTAAATGCACAGCTTGAATCCCATTGTTTACCATTAACAGTGTATACTTATAACTGCACACTACTAAGAGTTGATGACAAACTCTTATAACTATTCTTCACCCTTTGTTTTCCACTGTAATATAACAACACAAACAATAATACTGGTCAAGCACGCAGGGTAAGCGAGGAGGCAGAACACAACTTGAGGAAAAGCACTTTATAATTGACACTGAATTACACCAGCAGAAATCCAAAAAGTTATATATATAAATACAAAGAGCTAGGCTTTTACAGTTCAACGTCCACCGGTTTTTGAACTGACGCTTCCTTTCAAATTTGAACCACTACAAGACCCCCTCGCTTCCAGAAAGCTGTCCCCAGCTACTTCGGTCTTTCTTTCTCCCCGCCTCGGCATCGTTCCTGCAAGAGAAAGAAACACATGGTTATCAAGATTAAGCGTAGTTTTCCTCGGTGCCTGTCTGTTTGGTCTGGACGGTTGAAGTACACTATCATTTTCTAAGGGTTGCCGTTGTCTTCTTGGATTTCGTTGGTGTTGTCCGTCACTCTACGGTATACTACATATGGGCCTGTCCACCGTGCCGGGGCTTTATGACGACTCCAGTTGTCAGTCCGTGGTTGACGCAGCCACACATCCCCTATTTTGAATGGTGTTCCCCATTGCTTCCGATCGTAGTAGTGTTTCTGTCGCTCTTGTGAACTTTGAAGTTCTTCGCGTGCATAGCTATGCTATCTGGCTGTCACCTCGCAACCTTATCACCATTTCCGATGTAGTTAGCAGGTCATCCCATCGAGGCATAACCAAGGTATCACTGGGCAGTCGTAACTCGTGGCCGGTGCATAATAGGTGTGGAGTCTTCCCCGTAGACATGTGTGTGTTTCCTCGATAGGCCAGCAAGCATCTTGGTAACATCATATCCCAGGCTGATTGTGATTCTCTCTCTAAGAATAGGCGTAGTAGTGATTTTAAGGTTCGGTTGGTACGTTCGACTAACCCATTGCCTTCAGGATAGTACGCTGTGGTTCTGGACTTCTTAATCCCAAATAGATGGCACAATTCTCTAACCAGGATACTTTCGAAGTTAGTTCCTTGATCCGAATGCAATTGTTCGGGTGCGCTCCAGCGGGCAATCCAACAATCAAATATAGCTTTAGCTACTGTAGAGGCATCAATACGCTGGTGGGTGTACAGCTTCACACCATTTCGTAAAGTAATCAACCATGACCAAGATATACTTGTTCCCTCGTGGGGTCTCTCGTAAAGGTCAAATGATATCTACGCCCATTATTTCGGTGGGGTAACCAGCCTTCATGTTAATAAGTGGCGCCCTGGGTTTCCTCTGTTGGTTCTTCACTTTGCCACATGTTGTACACCGCCGGACAAAGTCTCGGACATCACGCCGTTGGTGAGGCCACCAGTAACGTTGGGTAACTGCTTGCAGCATCTTATTAATCCCAGCGTGTCCGAAGTCGCAATGTGTATTCTCCAGAATGGCAGTTACGAACGACTGAGGAACAACAACTCTTCTCAAGTAGTTGGGGCCTGGTTGAACACACATGATGCCATTCACGAGCACTAACTGGTCCCATAACGCCCACAAACATCTGGTCTCCCAACTCTTCCCTTTCACATCAGCTTCAACTGGCCTACCTGTCTGATTCAACAGGGCATGATATAGGAGTGCACTTTCATCGTCTGTAGCTTGGATATGTGCCCACTGTTCTTTACTTAAACCTGCTAACGAAATAGCACAGATATCAATACTGTCGCAAGACGGACAGTCTCCGTGCGGTCTGAAAGAGAGTCTGGATAACGCATCAGCATTGGCATGCCACTTGCCATGACGGTAAACACATTCAAAGTCATACTCCTGGAGGTATTCCTGCCATCTAACTGTCTGTCCTTCGGGGTCGTTGAAGCTTCGCAACCATTGAAGAGCTTTATGATCTGTTCGCAGAACAAACGCCCTACCAAGTAGATAGGGTCGATATTTAGGAACGAAGGTAACAGCGGCTAACATTTCTTTGCGGGCGATACAATAGTTTTTTTCTGCACAACTCAATGTGCGGCTGCCATATTCGATAACATGCTCCTTGCCATCTCTACCGACCTGGGATCATACGGCTCCGACGGATGTGTGCCTAGCGTCCGTAATCAAGATGTACTTACCAGCCGTCGGTGATGTATCCGGGAATGCTAAAATGGGCGCCGAGCATAATGAATCTTTCGGCTGCTGAAAAGCACGGTCACAATCCTCTGTCCATACGGAGGGAATATTTTTTCTAGTCAGACTCGTTAGAGGGCTAGCGATCTCTGGATAGTTTCTGACGAACCGGCGGTAATAAGAGGCCAACCCTAAAAACTGTGTAACTCATTCGCGGATTTAGGCACGGGCCATTCTTTGACTGATGCAACTTTTTCGGGATCGCTATGAATGCCTTGTGCGCTGACAACGTGCCCCAAGAAAGTGACTTCTGTTCTGAATAAACGGCATTTGGCGGGTGGCACAGTGAGTCCCACTTCCTTCAAACGTTTCAAGACAATCCGCAGTCTCTCGAGGTGTTCTTCGATGGCGTGATTGATATCGTCTAAATATACAAGGTACACTTCTGGGACCAATCCTTGAAGTACCATGTGCATCAATCGTTGAAACGTTGCTGGTACATTACTTAACCCGAAAGACATGGTCTGGAATTCATACAAACCGGTGGGTATAGTAAAAGCAGTCTTTTGCCGCTCACGATGGTGGACTTCCACCTGCCAATATCCAGACGTTAAATCAAGGGTGGCAAAACCAGACGGCGCCTGATGATGCCTCTAACGTCTCGTCTATTCTAGGCAATGGGTAAGCATCTTTTCGAGTCACTGCGTTTAATTTTCAGTAATCAACGCACAAGCGCATGGAGCCGTTTTTCTTCTTAACTAGCACTATAGGCGAAGCCCACGGTGAGTTTGATGGCGCAATCATGCCTTCCAGCTTAGCCGGGACTCGATGAGGTGGTTGCCGTATCGGGGCGCAAGTACCAGTTTCAACAGTGTGTTGGATAGCTGTGGTTCTTCCCAGATCAGCCGAAGACCACGACACGACCTCCGAAAATTCTGAAATTAACCGAAGTACGGAATCTTTGTGTTCTGGGGGAACCTGTGTTAACATACTTTTCATCAGGGCGGTATCAGCTGCATTCACACTCAGCTTTAAATAAATATTACTAATGTCTGATCCAAACATTAATGTAGAACCTAGTAGGGTGATAGTTTGGGATCCAATATCAACTGAAGCGTTGCAACTGCGTAGGAGGTCAAAACCTATTGTCATATCCCATGACAATCCATAAACTACTAGACACGGATGCCATATACGATCATGTTTACCTTCCCACAATACTAACAGCTCGCCCGTCACTTCCATGCGAGACCTGCTGGCCGTTTGGATGTTTAGGTAAGGGGTAGCAGTTTTGGCTATACCATTACAATGTTTGCTGGACAGCAATGTGCGAGCTGCACCTGTGTCTACCAAGCCAACGAGGGTTCTGTCATGAAATTTGACTGAAACAGTGCGCAATTGCTTGGCTACATATGGCTCGTCTGATACTTGCATAACATTAGGTAAAAAAGCAGACCCACCGACTTCTTCTGGGAAGCGAGAGTTCATC